AAATGTACTGTAATGGTCTCTGCACACTCAACTGCTGGCTAAAGTGGAGTGTTTGGGGAGTGAAGTGATCTGAGCTGGAATCTCAAATGGACATTAGGTCTTATTTTATCCATGCTACATGTTAGAAACAATCCTAGGAGAGACTAAGTTTTCATTTTCATGGTTTATCAAGCTCATTAGATATTTAGCATATTTTGTTTGATGTTAATTTATCCAAAATATAACATTTTACTAAAATATTATTGTACCCTATGGATTAAGGAGGTTTAGAAAGCACAAGAACTGATTTCAAGAGATGCTCCTATGGGGAATAGCACATCTTTTGGGATCTTTTTGGGATGCTTTCATTCTCCAATCTTTCATTACTTCATTTCAAGGGATAGAAAAAGCTATTAATTTAGTTATGAAAAAGATAAACCATGTAAATGTCCCTTTCCCCAGGCTGGCTGTGTAGTCAATAATGCCATCATCAGGAAAAATAGTGTGATAGGACAGCCCACAGAAGGAGCTCTCGTTGCCCTTGCAATGAAGGTAAGATTGTTAAGATTTAAACTTTTACAGAACTTTAAAATTAAATCATTTTTTTTTTTAAAGAGCTGGAATTGTTAGGTCTCACAGCAGTGATCAGACTTCTTCAAGCAAACACCTTCCCTGAGCTCCTGTGCTGACAGCAACAATTGTTTTGTGTGGTTAATCTCTGCAATTACTCTGCAGAATAAATTTTTTTCAGACTCAACTTTTTTTGATATTTTCTGCACATGCTAATTAAGAGTTCAGGAAGCAGACAAGAGAGTGAAAAATGGGTGAGATCAGGCCACACTAGAAAGAATAGTAGAAGGTCATCCTTGATGTGGGCCATCTGCTAGCTTTTCTATTTTTCTTGTCATGATTATATAAACCAAGATAGACCTATATATAATTTTTAAAGAATATTGCATCCACACTCACAGGCAGAGGGCTGTAAAACACCTCAAGGTATCATCTAACCAGAGTTATGTAGCCTGTGGTCCACAGACCTCAAGTGGGTTGTGAAGCACAGAAGGTGCCTGCTGAAATGATGCACCTGCAGACATCTGTTCTTACCTCCAATTTTTAAAGCTTGTAACAGTGAAACCATGATTGGTTTGTTTTGTTGGGTTTTTTTTTTTGAGACAATGACATATTATCTCCCTAAATGCTAAATTAAAATCTTCCTTCAGCTCTGCCATTCAGTAGCCAAGAAACAGGAGAATAAGAGGGAGGTTGTCTCATCTATTTGAACTTATTTTTTAATTTGCTGGGAGGTGGGGTAGAGAGGCTGAAAGCCACTTCTGATCCCTGCCACTTCTTATTCCCACCAGTTCACCTAGAGCACCCTGGCACTCTGCTAAAGCATCACATTGGTTTGAGCTGTTGTGCTTCATAGCTGAAGGGTCTTCTTGTGACCAGTTTGGGGTTTGAGTTGAATTCATTAGGAAATATTTTAAAACCAAATTTAACCCAAGTGGAGGAGCCTGAGTTTGGGCTGGAAGAAATCTGCTCTGCCCATTGCTTTGCCATAGTTTTAGGGAAAGGATTTGGGCCTCCTGTGACCTAAAGTCTCCCAGAAACAACAATGCAGCTCCCTAGTTCTTGCAAAAATCCACAAGGATCAAGCTTCAAACTCCATTTCAATTTATCCCATGTTAAGGACAAATTGAAGATGGGTTTGAAATATGAGTTTGAATCTCCCCATGCTTTTGAGCTCTGAGGTATAGGACTGCCTGGAAGTATGTGGTCAACAGTCAATACCTGTGCTATGGAAAATATAGACAAGCTTTGGCATTGTTCAGCACTACACTGCTCTTTTTGTTTTACCTTGCTTCAGATGGAATTAGCTGACATAAAAGATACTTATGTAAGAAAGAAGGAAATTCCGTTTAGCTCTGAACAGAAGTGGATGGCTGTGAAATGCACGCTGAAAAATCAGGTAAAGCAAACAGTAGTGTTGGCTGGTTTCAGGTTCCTAATCATGCACATCAACAATGGGCATGAAATGGTATCTCTTGAGCAAATACTGTTTTCAGAAGTTAACTATGTCAGGAGAAAACGGAACAAACCTTAAAATTCCCAACTTGGGTGTAATTTTAGCTTGTAAAGCTGTGTTTGAATGGGATTAGATAATACTTTTCATATAGTGGTTTGAACAGGTAAACAAAAGCTTTTCAGAGCTAGCTGACAGGGGAAGAAAGATAGGATGTTTGGGAGAAAATGGCCTTTTCCCCCTTGTTGGATTAAAGAGCTCACTTTGGCTGGTATTGTGCTCTGGTTTAAAAACTCACCAACCTTTTCATTACCATTCTCTCTGTCACAACTGAACATGAAAAATGGCTAAAGGAAAAATATCCCACCCTTTCCATAATACATGCACTGGGGTGTTTTACACAACAGGTGAAAGAGCAAACAAAAGATCTTTTTTTATCTAGGATGTAAAGCCTTGTGCATTATCAGTATTTTGAAAATGTGCTTCAGCTGTGGTTTTTTGCTTGTTTGTTTTTTTTTTTAATATAAAATATACTATCTGCTTGCTTTAAAGGATCAGGAAGATATCTACTTTATGAAAGGAGCGTTTGAAGAAGTTATTCAGTATTGCACCCTGTATAACAGCAGTGGCATCTCCTTATCACTTACACCCCAGCAGAAAGCTTTCTACCAGCAGGAAGAGAAACGAATGGGGTCCTCAGGTCTACGGGGTCAGTCCTTACACCCTGTGTGTCCCTTAAGCTTAGAGGTTATCATGCCCTAATCCATGCTCTGCTTTGGTCACAACGGCCAGAGCCTCAGTCCTTAGCATCACTTGCATGATCTCTTCATAATACCTGTCCAACTTTGCCAAGGGCCACGTCTTAAGTCTGTTGGCTTCTTGCTTTCCACTAATCTTTTTTTTTTTTTCCTGAGTTTAAATTAGCACGATTGAAAGGAGCTGAAAATAAGCCCTGGAAATGGTGAATGTCTGTCCCACAGCACGCTGCGATTGCCTGGGACACGGTCTGAATGTTGCTTTGAAAAGCTTTGTGCTGGATTTGATCTAAGCACTGCTCTGCCAAGTTTTCCTTTTGGAAAAGCTGTTTCAAAAGCCACAGAAAGCAGCTTTGAAAGGGGTTCAAAACATGGATTTGAGCACCGAGATTTTTATTTGAAGTTTGGTTCAATTCTTTATTAGGACCAAATCTAATGATCTCCTTTTGATCCCAACTGCACGTCAGTGCACAGCGCACAAAAGTTTTTATACACATGTCATTTCCTTCACCACTAGAAACATCCTTTCAGAAATGTCTTGGACTCTCACACAGTAACAAAGACACCATCGCTTGTGTGTGTTCCCAAGCTGTAAGGAGATGAGAACAAGTCTTGGCAGCCAGGGCTGGGAAATGGTATAGTTTACATATTCTCCAGCCCTGGGTCTTGTGGTTAGCAGCTCATGTATGGAGCTTGCTTTGCAATATCTTAATCATCTGCCATTGTGAATGGCAAATTACTGCTCAGAAGAAAAGGAATTAGCTCGGGCAGCTGCTGCAACCTTCTGATTCACTCATCAAAGCAACACTGACATGAACCCCTGGCAAAAGCTCCCTGAGTGATTTCAGAGAGAATGAATGATAGGGTTAGGCACCAAGAACGCAAACAAAACGTTCAGACCCTTGATGTTAACATGATGGAAGCTTCACTGATTTAACTGAATCTACATTTCACCTTTTTAGATGTAAAAATGTAAACTTTTTTTTTCTTAATGAGCACTATCTTTTTAATGTACCAATTTAATAGTGCAACATTACACTGTCCCAGTTTAATCCATCTGTGTTTAGGGAAGGTTCAGTAGACAGCTTTAAGTTAGAAAGAAATCAATCCTAAGAGAAACATGCAAAACAGAAATGCTCTGATTCAGATAAACTGGTATTATTTGAGTAGACAAATTCTTGTGTCTGCATGAGAATGTAATGACTAAAGATCTGATTTTAACTGTTTTCTGCTGGGGAAATGGCAATTTAATATCTCTTCTAAATGTTTTAATGTGTAGAAACACATTAATAATAATTTAATCCTCTCTTCCTTTTCCCCCCCTTTCTGTTTCTAGTGCTTGCTTTGGCTTCAGGTCCAGAACTTGGCAAACTAACCTTTTTAGGTCTGGTTGGAATAATTGATCCCCCGAGGGCTGGAGTGAGAGAAGCTGTTCAAGTCCTTCTGGAGTCTGGTGTATCAGTAAAGATGATAACTGGAGATGCCCTGGAAACTGCTGTGGCCATAGGTAGCAAACTTACCTTCTCTCCTGCATTGTGTCTGTCAGATCAGTCAAATGTTACACCACTTAACAATTAACTTCATCATCCTTTTTGTGTGTGCAGTGGAGGTTTTTAAATGCCCACTGAGTTCTTGCTTTTCCGTTGAAACAAATAGTATTAACTGTCAAATTCCAGTCACTTAATTTCACTATTTTAGCACCACAAATGACAAAATCTCAAAGCAAGACCCTTAAATAAAGGGTATCACTTCCATAACTCCAGCAGAGCAAGGACAGGGTGACCAGCCCAGCTCAGAGCCAGAGAGCTGTCTGCCCTGTCAGATGCTCCAGGTTCAGATATATTTCCCAGTAAATTCCTGAGTTGCTGCTTCTGTGCTTTGAGTCAGGAAATAGTTGGCTTTTTCCTGTACTGATGGGCAGATTTCATTTTGGGCTTTTCTTTGCAGGACAGAATATTGGTCTCTGCAATGGGAAGCTGAAAGCCATGTCTGGGGAAGAGCTGGACCAACTGGCAGAGGCAGAGCTATCATCCACTGTCAAAAATGTAATGGTTTTGACTACAAAACCAAGGCCTATTTCCAATAGCATCCATCTAATACAAGATGGTGGTTTTTTTCTTTTTCAGGTTTCCATATTTTTCAGAACAAGTCCAAAGCACAAACTAAAAATCATAAAGGTACTGAGCGCCTCTCAACTCCTTTGTATGCCTCACAAAAACAAGATGTAAGGGAGATCTCAGTTCTCTAGACCATGTGGTCTTCCAAGGCAGGATCAGCTCAAACTGAAGGACCATAAAAGCCAAGCTAAAGTACTATTTGTGTTGAAGGTCTCAGCACGATGGATTGGTCCATCACTAGATGCAAACACATCACTTGATGTGTTCAAGCCCAAGTTGGATGGGGCTTTGAGCAACCTGGTTTAGTGGGAGGTGTCCCTGCCTGTGGGAGGGGGGTTGGAACTAGATGATCTTTAAGGTCCCTTCCAGCCCAAACCATCCTATGATTACTCTTGCAGACCTGGCATGAGTCCTTTGAAAGACACTAGTGAGATATTTGCGAGCGTAGTGTCAGGAGAATGATTTCTGAGCATTTTACTCCAATGTTCTAACTCCTGCTGGAGTTTTGAGATTCTCTATACTCCTGTAAATCCAGTTTCTTAATTCTTGGTCTGAATTTTGTCCTCAGTGGGCTGCTGAGTCTGCTTTACCCTCGAAGTCACACAGCACTTCTGCTCTTTCAATATGACGGGTGAATCCTGTGAGTGCTGATAGGACGTAGTTATCTTCTCATGGCTTCAGAGCCTCTCATCTCTCCACCCTCACAGGCTTTGCAGAGGGCTGGTGCTGTTGTGTCAATGACAGGAGATGGTGTTAACGATGCCGTGGCCCTTAAATCTGCTGATATTGGGATTGCAATGGGACGAGCTGGGACAGATGTCAGCAAAGAGGCTGCCAACATGATTCTCGTGGACGATGACTTCTCAACACTAATGTAGGTTTAGTGACTTTCTTGCTATCAGACACTTTCTTACTTCAGACACTTTCTGCTTATCCATTGCAACAATTCTGTTGTGTGACCAGCCCTGGAAGTGGCACAAGGCACAGGACATGTGAGTCAACAGGCAGTGAGTGGAGATATCTGGTGTGGGTCTGGCTCATTTTCAGTTGCATACATGGCAATTACTTTTGTTTCAAGCAGTGGTGATGAAGCTGCCTTTCATCTGAGAGCTCTGGTTTCTTATTGCTGTGGCTAACCAAGGATTTGAAAGCACCTAGAAGTCTGGGTAGACTGCAACTTGTGCTCTCTGCCTCATACAGAAAGCTCAGAAGAAAGAGATAATTTGCAATGCTCTGTTTGTTCCTGACAACAGAGTGAGGATACAAATAGGTTGTGGGCTTGCTTCATGAGCCAAGACCTGGGCATATGAACCAGGGTTTCAGATCTACCGTTCCTGATAAAGTAATTTTAACTGAGATGCTGCATTGATGTCCTTCTCCCAAGCTGCTGTTTGAGTTTCATCTGAGATAAGTGCTAGAGAAGACAACCTGTTCTGAGCACAAGGAGCTCTATGTAAAATAGTGTGAGTACTTAATGAACTCTCCTCTCCCTTCCAGGAATGCAATAGAAGAGGGAAAGGGAATATTTTACAACATAAAGAATTTTGTCCGGTTCCAGCTGAGCACGTAAGTTCCTGGCTGCTTTGAGCCCAGTGAAAGCCCTTTTTGGGGGAAGGCAGGCAGAGTAACGTTCCTCTGTGCTTTGCAGGAGCATTTCAGCTTTGAGCCTGATTACTCTCTCAACGGTGCTCAACCTACCCAATCCACTCAATGCCATGCAGATCTTATGGATCAACATCATCATGGATGGGCCCCCAGCCCAGAGGTAGGGAGGAGCCACATGAGCAAAATAGTCTTGGGTTTAATATGTCTGAATCCAGCTTAGGAACAAAGCTGTTTTGATTTCTTATGAATGCACGAATCATTTGGTGGTGGTTAGAGAAGACAAGTTGTACTTTTGTTCCCCTCTGGTCCCTCTGAAAGCATTTACTTCAGGTTTTGCTTGAAATTTTATGTGTTTCTGTTCTGTGGTGGGAACACTTAACAGCTCTTCCACTTCTTGACTAGGAGTGATCTCTCATCCTGAGTGCATCACCTGAGTGCATCCAGCCCTGCAGGTCTGACTGGAGAGGGGATATTTGGTACCTGTGAGGGTACACGCCTCAAAACCATAAGACTTCAGAGCCCATTACTAATTGCAACTACTGCTCATTACCATTACTACTTTCACTATGTGGAAGAGACGTTGGCCACAGTCTCATGGCTTGCTCTCCCTCTGGGATAGGATACTAGTAGTCTAATATAGACTTTTCACAGTTTGTTATGCAAAAAGACCTTTGTCATAGGTATCTCAGGCAAATTGGAGGCTTTATGTAACCCTGCCCAAATGCTGATCTCTCTCTTGATGGACTTCAGAGAGCTGCATCCTCCAGGTCCATCCTGTTTTGTCAGCAGTACCATTTCAGGACGATCTGAATTAACTAAACACGTCCCTCCACTTTTTTTTGAGGCAGTTTGGGAGTTGAACCTGTTGATAGGGACACGATCAAACAGCCACCCAGACGCATCACGGACACCATACTCAGCAAATCACTGATCCTGAAAATCTTCATGTCAGCTACAATTATCATCAGTGGAACCCTCTTCGTCTTCTGGAAGGAGGTGAGGAAAATCTACAATCATATCTTGTTTTCATCAGAGTGAAAACAAAAGGGCAGCTTCTGAAGAACATGTGAAGGACTTTCTGAAGTATATCCAGTGGGGAAGGATCAGTACAGGCAGAGGGTTAAGAAACCAGGGTCAGCTCCTAAGTCTGCTTCTGCCTTCCTGTATTGCCTTTAATTGGGTGGTTTCTGCCTAGAATGGGAAAAAATATTACTTGACATAATACCAATTCTTTAAGTTACTTTTCACCTCTGGCTTTCCACGTAAGTACAAAATTCCAAGTACATTAGTACTATGGATTGCTGTTAGTAAATAATAACTGCTACTGTAACAGTTTAATTTAGAATATTCTTTACCTGAATTCCACTTCAGTCTAAGAATTTAAAACATGGTTAATAAAACCATAAACTCAACAATTAGCAGAGAGAAATTAATGTTTTCTAAAATGCTTAGAGCTAAATTTAATCCTTTGTTTTACTACCCTTCAAATTGACTGGGGTCATTAAAGGGAATATTTAATTCATCTATTGAGTTGACATGCTTTTGTAAGGTTTAACTAACTCCTGAATTTTTACATGTGCTTTCAGAATCCAAAAAGTGGCATCACTCCTCGAACCACCACGATGACTTTTACCTGTTTTGTGTTTTTTGACCTCTTCAATGCCCTGACGTGCCGCTCTCAGGTGAGAGGGCTGCCAGCAAAACACCCACACAAACATTAGAATCCTACTATGTGTGCACAGGGAGGGGGTTTTAATGTCATGTGAAGCAGCATGATTTTTAGCATTTTTAAAGATGTCTTGTTCAACATATTCCTCAAAGTGGGACGCAGGAAGTTCCACGTAAACATGAGGAGAAATTTCTTTCCTGTGGGGGTGGCCGAGCCTGGAGCAGGTTACCCAGAGGGGTGGTGAAGTCTCCTGCTCTGGAGAGATTCCAAACCTACCTGGATGTGATCCTGGGCACCCTACTGTGGGTGACCCTTCTGGAACAGGAGGGTTGGATGTGACAATCCCCAGGTGTCCCTTCCAACCCCCACCATGATAAAGGTATCCATCATAGTTCAACTGTAACTACACTTCCAACTACGTACCTCTACCTAGTTAGCATTTATGTCCCTTCAAAAAGTAATAGAGTTTACATGCAAATAAACAGTGTGATGTGCAGGAGACTGGGAAATGTGACAGTTCTATCTCTTTTTTTTTCTCCATTCTCTAGACAAAGTTGATATTTGAAATAGGCTTTTTTCGAAACCGCATGTTCTTGTATTCTGTGCTTGGGTCAGTTTTGGGACAGCTGGCTGTTATATACGTCCCTCCACTACAAAAGATCTTCCAGACAGGGAATTTAGGAGTACTAGGTAAGTTGAAAAATGAATAATGTGGGGTTTGTTTTTTTTTTTTTCATCAAAGCTATGTTAAAAACCAGATGAGATTGCCAAATGGTTACGTGATAGCTCCCAACAGATTGCTGGGAGAGGAAATCAATCAACAGCTCCTACCCCTATACACTCACACAGAAAGATGTGTAGCTACACACAAACAGCAGCAGTATTTACTGCTACTATCCCAGCCTAGGGTTTGGATTTTGATTTACCACGTTTGAATGCATGCAAATGGAGACATGTCAAGATCTTCCGTGAGCTCTGTAGGATATTTCTCCACATAAATCCACCAGGGATCACTCTGCAGTCACTCCAGCTGGAAAAGCAGGGGGCATGTTTCCTGGCTGGGATGCAATGCCTAATTTACCATCTGAATCACTCTAAGCAAACTCTACCACACTACCACGAATTGCATCTATACGTGAGGCAGGTTGTTAAAGCAGGTTCAAGGATTCCAAATGATTAATGCAGAGGTTTCCACCAGTGAAGTGGACTATCCCAGCTATGGATATTTCTTGTCTACCACTCATGTCTCTAATTGTACAGCTAGCAAAAGCACAGCTAGGGCCATCCATCCATGGAGATGCACCAGCACAAATACTGACTGCAGGGAGGTCTGAAACAGGGGATTCCTGCCCAGCACAACGTCCAGCTGCCCACTGAGTTCTCCCCCTCTCTTTCCCCCCTGCAGACCTGCTGTTTCTCACTGGCCTGGCCTCCTCAGTTTTCATTGTGTCTGAGTTTGTCAAGCTCTGTGAAAAACGCTGCTGCCAGCCAACGCAGACAAAGGGATGCCCCAACTGATGCAAACTCCCTCTCAAGCTGTACTTGGAACAGAGCTGGGTAGTTCAAAGGCACCATTTTCTGATGCTGCACCTCCTTTCTGAAGACACTCAAGTGAACCAGTACTGACTGTCCTCCTTACACCAGAGCCTGACCCTTCCACATGTTCTACCCACACTGTTGGAGCTGTCTGCAAAAACCTCTGGAACAACTCCTGTTTTAAACCAAGATCAGGTATATTTTTTTATAACATTGATCTATACATCAAGTATGCTCTGATAGTCCCAGGCAGAACACCACAGTGTAACACTTGTACAGAGAAGTCTATTGTGCATAAACTGCAATTTTATTTATTTAAATCAAAATGATTTTTATTAATAAAATCTACATTTTAAAATGTTACTGACAAGTAATGAGATTCTTGATTTAGACCCGTCCTTTTATATTGAGCTAGAAGAATAGAAAAGACCTGTCTGTACTAGAACTTTTTTCCTATAATTAATCTGTAGTGTTTCTAGATACCCACCCTTGGTTCAGCAAGACTCTCAAGGAATCCCTAGGAAGGTGGCAAACAAAGAGTAGAGAGCTAAAGTGCCAACATTCAGCTGTCAGCTTTTGCCCAACACTGCAGTGGTTTTTTTCTACCCCATTCTTATGTGACTAATAGGGAGCAAAGAGGAAGGCTGATCTGATGTGATGCTCAGTAGTGGATGGGTTTAATGGGGAAGGGACTTTCAGAAGCACAGCAGAATCAAGCTGACTCGTATGTAGTAGGGATGTTAAGCCTTGCAGCTGGATCAACAGCTGCATAAAATGATTGGGAGATGCTTAGATCAAAGCTGAGCTCATTGCTGATGAATGCTTTCTGGGTGTGTTTAGTTGCATGAACATGAAGCACAGATTGCTTAATCATTAGTGTCAATAAAAAAAGTTGCCTCTTCCAAGCTAATCTCTTAAAGAACAATTTTGAATAATCCCATCTGCTGGTGTCACTAGTGTCCCAGTAAACAGTGCTTCAGTGATACATTTGCTAAAAATGTGACATTGTCACTTTTTCTCTTGCTTCAGCTTAATACCTTCACTTCAAGGTGAAGATGAGGAGTCTCAGATACAAACTTGCCCAAACCCACAATTTCAGAGGTCTAATTTACAATTTCATTCAGATCTTGCTGATCTTTACAAGGTGATGCTTAAACAGGATTACATTCTGGATTCATAGCCTAGAAAAAGAACCAGTTATACTGACAGTTACTTTAAATCAAAGAAAACCTGGCCACTGAAATATTTTTGAGAAGAGTAGCTTGGTGCAATTCACCTTCCCCAGATGATATCTGCAAAGGTGTTATTCTAAAATCCTTGCAAATGGTTTCAGTCCTCAAAGAAAAGCCTCTGCCTTGTAGTGGAATGAGAAGAAACTCTAGTTGTTTATTTTAGGTGTAACTGCGGAAATTCAGCTATGTCTCACTCCTGTATGCCATCCACTTTGAGTATGCAGATTACTCAGTGCTGAAGTGAAGAATACCTTGGGGACTTGTGGTGGGAGTTTGAGATGTGAAAACAAAAGTGTCACCACACTTAGAGCATCCTGTGCTCACTTGCTCTCTGTATAGAACTCCCTGCTTTGTACCATCTAAAATTCTTATTATAACACACAGAGAAGAAAGTTATACAAAGGTATCAGTGTAATTGTTTTAATGCTTACATTTTTTTCCCCTGCATGTTACAAACTTTGGAACACTATCTGGTTTAAATAAATACAAGATAAAAGGATATTTAGCTCAGGCCTTTCACAGCATGCTCTGTACTGGAACTAATAACATCTATGCCCCAATCATTAGTTCAGGTAGCAGACAAAGTGCACAGTTGAGTTCTAGGATGTCTGGCTGGAGTGATTTCTTCATGCCCTCCTTTCAAGGCTAAATTCATATTGTCTGATAAAGTTGTAAGAAATGGGATCTACGTTAAGGCACAAATGCAGATTATTCAGAATATTCAAAGCAGGCTCCCTATGAAAAGCATCAGGTGGAAAAAAGCAAAGACAAGAAAACACTAAGGGCAGGAATTTGAAGGCAGGCCACGTGATCAGGGATTGCAGTAATTTTACAGACTGTTACAGCACAGTTTTTTTTCTCCAAGCTGCATGGAAGATGACTCGTGCTAGGACAAAGGGACTTGGGATAAGCTGTCCTCCTTAGGAGGAGAAAGACCCAGAACACACATACCAATAACCAAACACAATCTGCTGAGTTAGAAATTACAATCTCATGTAGAAATTAGGGTTATTTTTGACAAGTGAATTACACATTGAATTAGGAAGGTCATACTAATAATTACCAATAGATGGGAATAAATTCAAGTAGAAAAAGCCCTGAGTGTAAGAGACCTGACAAAACTGGTGTTGGCTGGTGAACAGCCAACAAAACAGAGAAAAAAACCATAACCCACTAGTTACATTTTTGCATTGTGAGCCTTTTTTTCTGTAACAAAGTCATGATTTATTATGTCGAAATAAAGTGTACAGCAGTCTTTAAATGTGTTACAGATATAACCCTTACTTAATCCTCTTTACAGCCTGATCATTTCCTCTGGTCTCAAGGCTACTAAGTAAGGTACCTTCCCTAGGGAATTTCTGTTGGAGGTATGGCTCATTTTTAGAGCAAATATGGCTGCATGACTCCAATGGTTCTGTTCTATTAGATTTTAAAAGCAATAGGCAAACTTCTTAAGTGAGAAGCACTAGGGTGTAGTGTAGCAGTATAAAACTAGCTGCTGTATACTTAGCATTCTGTACCTCTTACAGCCCCTATAGAGTCACTTGCTGAAAATCTGACTTGGAAAACATGAAATTGAATGCTTTAACTAGAGCAATGCCAATTAACAGCATCCTTCATATGGAACCATGTGGGCTATTCTATGTTTACCAATGTAGGACATCATTACATTTTTACAAGCTTCACTGACTGATTTCATGGCATGTAAATAAATACGTGAGGTATAAAAACCTTAGTCAGTGTCTTGAACAGTCTTTATATAAATACATACCAATTCTCCAGCTTGGTAAGCAATACTGTTGGTAATTTCTTTGTTTTTAACTCTGTATGCAGACAGGATCTAACAGGAATGCTAGCAAATTAAATTTGAGCTGGAACTTAGAGATGTCTAACAATTAAGTAATTAGTGTCTCTGTCTCCCCAGACAAAACCCTTGAGGCAGTATATTGTATTGGACCTAAATAGCATGTAAGTATGAGGCTTTGTCCCAGATGATTAGGGAAAAAATTGAGGAAAAAAAAATATTCTGTCCAAGGAACATTTACATTCAGGAGGGAAAAAAAGAGGTTTTTCATGTTACTGTGATTCTTTTAATTGTCATCATCATCATCTTCAACGGGTTCTCTCAGCCCTTCACTGTGACGACTCTTCCCAGCCATTTCTAAAAAGGCCCGAGCCTCAGGATCCACATCCAGGATACTCTTCTTACCTTTTGTCTTCAAAACAACAACAAAAAAAAACCCAGTCAATTTAAAATGTCATTGTGAGTGAATCACTCTCAGGCTACCAGAAAGAGACATACTCAGAAGTCCACAAGTCTATTCCAGTGTGTTCAGGTTACGAGGCAGCCAGAACATCCTGGTTACCCTGACCTCCACTTCAAGGGCAGGTGTCAATTTATTGGTTATTTGTAATGTAGTGCAACTCAACAGTTTTTGTAAACAATTTGTTCTGTTCCTGGTTAGAACTATGGGGCCAGTGAACAGACAGGGTATATGAATTTGGTATGAAAAGAAATAAAAATTCTAAAAACCCAAACCGCCAAATTGTTCAGACGATTTAATTAGAGCACAAATTACAGGGACAGAGGAGACTGGAAAGAAGTCTCCTACTCATTCCCAAAGATAAGCCAGATGCAGAAAGACTAGTGTAACTCTATGCACACTAATTTACTGTAAAGCAATACTAAATTTAAAGTTACTGATCAAGAAATCCTTTAGCTTTTCTTCCTAAGGTGTAGATTAGGCTTTACTTGTGAGCTTCCAGTGCTTGCTTTCTGTTTTACAAACACTGGGTTTTACTGAACCCCTCCAAGGAGGTTCCTCCTGGAGAGCATTCCTCAGTATCAGGAAGGCCTTTTGAAATTCAGAATAATGTACAGCTCTTTTGATTCTATCACCTCACGGCTGCTGATGTTATTTCTTTTGAGACGCTCAATAATGCCACAACTGTTTTGTCAGGACACAATTTCAGAGGTTCACCTACCCCTGTGCTTTCAGGGAGGTCTCCCACTGCCCAAACTTCCACAGCATCCAGTGTAAAATCTTCTCTTGCTGACAGCTGGGGACTGTTGTAGGTGGTACATCGAGGTTTTGCTTTGCTGTGTCCCTTCCCATAGTCACTGTCTATCCAGAGCCCAAAGTACCCGTGCTGTCCACCCATGCCCTGTGAACCAGAGCAGAACATCACACATCTGCTGCACACTTAAAACACACTGGGTGAGTTATGAAACCTAGAGGATAAATTGCTATTTTCAGTATTTGTGCCACAATTCCGTGGTGAAAAAGGGTATTCTGAGGGCTTCTGCACCAAAATCCAGTACTCCTGAAGACAAACAAATCTACCTGAGTGATACTTGACAGAATATCAGGATCTGCAAGCACTTCAGATGGGTCTTGTGCCAGAAGTTTAGCTCACTAGCTTTTGTTTATTGACTAACAGTTCCACTTTATATAGGGTAAAAGTGCTCAGTATGGCTCTTTTCCATTTAGAAATGTATCTACAGAAACAAATAAGGTAATTTGATGTTGTTTGCTTTCTGCAGAGCAAATTTCCTCCAGACTGCTGCAATTCCCAAAGTTATGGGCACGCCATGCCACAGAACTGTAAAGCACTTTTCAAAATAGGTGTTTGTAGCTCTGTAGAAACTCCTCTGCATCTGGAGAGCTCATTTGTGGACTTGAGTAAAAGGAGCTTCTGCTGCTGTCATCACACAACAGCAGCAGCCAACGTGCAATTCCTGAACTCTAG